TTGACAAAAGACCTCTGGCTCTGCGACGGAAGACATAAACCAATTGACCAACTTGGTATGGACCCCGGATGGGTCTTGCTCTGCCGGCGACAGCTCGGCGCCAGATGTCACGTGCATGTTCTTCATGAAATGCTACTGCAGCTTGTTCTCTCAATCGAACTTTATCATGGAAATCAGGATCGGCTAGGTATCGTGAAGCAGTGGTTATGTTGTTTTGTTGTTCAAGGTCTCGCAACATACCAACTTGACGGGAATCCTGACCAAGAAACCATTGTGAGGGGCTAAATCCACAACGTCTCAACTGCTCGTTTCTTGTGGTGGCACACATCTCAATTGTTTCTTCTACACTTCTATTTGTGGTTCTCCACACCTTTTGCGCCATGTTTCTGAGGATCCTATTTGTCACTTCAACCAAACCAAGTTGCCAATGGGACTCGGCTGCGGCCAAAAGAAGTTTGACATCGTTTCGTGCCAAGTATGCTTGGAAAGGCTTGCTGATATTTGCCATGGCTGGGTCCATGTAGATGGTGTTTGGCAAACCATATGGACGCGACCAAACATTATGAAATGCTTCTGCCATTGAATGGCCAGTCGGACAAATAATCTGCTGGGCAAAACCTGTTCCTAAGCAAACACGTGCTGCTTGCGTCAATTCCTGATGGCTGTGCAGTGATCGATACTGGTTGCACGACCAGTGTGGTAGGTCAACAAACGGCTGAACGTTTTTCCAAATTGTTTCAAAGCCTGAACCTGCCGATTCCAAAGCCATGTGAATTGCCTGCAGTAGAGTTGAAGGGATTTAGTGGGGATAAGAGGGTGACCACCAAGGGATTGAAATGGCCTGTGAAAATTGGAAGTCTTTGGGGAACCATAACTACATATGTTGTTGAAGGTCCCACACCGTTTTTGCTTTCACGTCGTGTGCTTGAGGGGATGGAGGCAACCTTAGATATGGGGAAAGGCACCATCACCAGCAAAAAGCACAACATGGTGAATTTCCCGCTGAAACGGACGTACCGGTGTTTGTATGCAACTTTTGGATTATTGCTTTGATCTTTTCAGGTCTTTGCTCAGGCTGTGCTGCGGCTGCAACTGCGCCCTCTGAGTTAGGAACGGGTTGTTCCGGATCAGCTGGTTCAAGTGCATCGGATTCGTCAAACAAAACATCTTCAAGTCTCGGTGACTTGGCACGGCAATTGCTCAGAACTTCAGAGACTACTCGGCAGAACTTACTTGGATAAACTTCACACCAAGAGGACAAGTTGCGACCCTTGTACGCACCTTCAAGATGGGCATGTTGGTGCAAATGATCACAACGGCACTTCAGCAGTCGTTCTGCAAGTTCTGGCATCGTGGTGACGATCTTTGTGGGCTTAAGCACAGGGACGTTTGTCTTTGGACATCGCATGCCAAGGCTGCACATGTCAATGCGGACTTCATGGAAATCAAGCAATTGCAACTGTGACCATGCTTCAGAAGTCAATGGGTTCTCCGCATGACAGTGACCACCAAACAAACGCTGTAACTGCCACGCTTCAGAAACGGCACTCAGGTGCCTTTTGGCAATTTTGCGCTGCTGCAACACTGTGGTTTCACTGGGACCACCCTTTGCAAGATTGAATCTACTCCAGGGACCCCAACATCCACAAGGAAATGAAAACCATACGTGTTCCGGCCTACACCATGCAATCAAGTAAAGCAACATGCGGCGATCTCTCAACTTGTTGAAATCCTGGCCATGTTTCAGGCCCAAGATAATGCATGATTTACCGGTTTGTTTATGCAGCTTTTTGGCAAGTGGAGCTCTATCGGTAAACACCTCGATCATTTGAACTGGTGAGTCCAGTGCATGGGCTTGCGGGCCAAGCCATTCTTCTAGTTCTTCTCGGACCTTTTGAGGTTCTGCTTGCATGCGGGACAAAACCAGTTGGCTATTGACCTTTCTAACCGATTTAACCCCTTTACTTATCACATTTCTAAATCCATCCTTGATTTCAGTTGGTCTCATGTTTACCCAATCAACATCATCATACAATGATTCTATTGGGGCGCATGGTGGTGGTTGAATCTCCATGGATGGATCCACTTGTTCACAGCAGCACTGGCAGTGACTAGCTGTTCCAGCTGGCACTGGCACTGGCGGTCGTTCAATGGGAATGTGCACGAACAAGGCGATGTTCGTCTGGGCAACTCTGGATCTCTCATTACCTGGCGGGCGAGTGACCCATGGTTGGACTTGGAAATCTCCCTCAGTGGATAGGGTTACCCTACAGCTCAAATAAGACTGGGTTGAAGCATCAGGGGGAACGCGTTCAAGTCTAGGTCTATAGGCTATGAAGGCATGGGTGCATTCGGCTGCTCTGGCACCTACTATTCCTATCAACTGCTCTCGGAATCTTTCAACATTCACAATCCCTTGACGAGTATTTTTGGCTATGTGCTGCAAAAGCTGTTTTCTACTTCTTACATTGTCACCTCTTTTTGGTGCACATGTTTTGGCTACTTTCGTGGAAACCTCAGTCGGTTCGTGCCTCTGCTCAGCGGCTGCAGGGGCTGCGTCATTGGGCTCATTGGTGTCAGCACGGCCGGCTTCTCTGCTGTCGTCATCGGATGATGACATCGGCTCGGATAGGTCACTGGGCATATCTCCAGTATCAGCTAAACTCACATCAGCAGATCGCTTTGAAACATCAGGCTGAAACTCGGACGGGATCTCACAAAACGGCAGGAGGAAATGACCAGTTCCAGCGAAGACCTCGTTCACCAGGTAGGCAAAGGCTTCAGCGATTTCTGCTTCAGTGAAATTTGCATCTTCTCTCCGTGGTCTGAACTCGTTTGGCTTGCGTTTCGCATTTGAACTTTTCACAGAGCTTTTAGTCTTGTCATACTTGAAGTCACCCTTCCGTGGCATCTGACCCATTGATGTAGAACTTGAACCAGATTTGCTAGGCATGTCTTGCGGTTGACTCAAGGCTACCACAGGGTAGTAAGGCTGTCTGGACTTTTTGATCTCTTTCACTTTGCGTCTACTCTCTTTGTATGTCTTGAAGGATCTTTTGAAGTCTTTCTTGGCCTTGTCCTTGATCTCATAGACTTCCTGCAGCTCACGGTCAGTTGAATTGTCATCATCATCCTGTTGCATCTCATCAGGCTGATCAACTGCTAGTGCATGGTCAGATTCGGAACCACTGGTCATTGGTTCCATGATTTCAGAAGATTCATCATCCACGGCATGGGCTTCTTGCTGAATCATCATCGTATCTCTGCGAGGCGGTCTGGCAGAATGGGACACAGGGGCATGTCGTCGCTCATCAGCACGGCTCCTAGATTCATCAAAATCAGAGGCTCTCAAAATCCTCTCCACTTCATGAAATTTCGATGATCCACCAGTTGAACGGATCACTTGTGCACGTTGTTCACGGGAAAGACCATACTTGCGCATGAACAAATGACCCAAAACTGTTGATGGAAAAATAGGAGACGGCTTTGTATGGCCAACTTCAATTGTGCCCAACAAATGAGCCATTCTCAGTTCTTCACGTTTACGATCAGCAGCAAAAGTTCCACGAGAGCTTTTACCAGAACCGGGACCTTTCTTTCTCCTGCCCTCATCTACAGAGGCATGGCTACGGGCTGACTTCGGTTCTTCTTCATGAGAAGCTTGATCTTTTTCATCTTTTTCACCAGCACATGCAGAAGGCGGCTTTTCATCATCTTTCTCATCATCTTCATCTTCACCTTCGGTAGGTGCTAGGCTACTGGCAGGCGGCGTCTCAGCATCAGGCATATTGGATTCAGGACCAGAAGTTCTACGTTTCTTGGACTTCGAAGCAGCACGGTCTTGGGCGACCAAGGCTTGCACACGGGACAACGCAGTCTTGAAACGGCTTGCAAACTGCGTGGCACCTTCATGAGGTCGTTTGCGAAGGTCGAACAAAAAGCTATCTATTGCTTCATGCAGTTCGGTCTCTGGCAGAAAAGCGTAGTGCTTATCCAAGGCCCTCAGGACCTGCAGCCAGCCGTCTGAACGGCGCAAATCCGACACAGAAAGGTGCTCAGTGGCTCGATAAGCCTCACCCTGCAACCTGGTCAAAAGACGTGGACCTGCGAGGTGAACATGTTTCTCCTCCAGGCCTGCTACTGCAAGAATTGTTTTTCTCCTGAATTCTCTGTAGTTTGCTGGACGGCCATCAAAAACTAAATCTCTGAAGGATCCAGAATCACGCTCCATTGGCACCGAAGGATGCCACACTCAATGGCCAGGATGGCCACACGTCGCCAAATTCAATTGGCGCCCTTGGATGCCCCGTAGGGCTCCGCTACCATGCGGAATGCAAGGTAGCACAAACAGCAACGAAAGATGCTATGGCTTCCTACACACCCTAAACCAAGCGGTTTCACTGCAATTCCTGTTTTGACCAAGCCAGTGAAGGCTCAAGGCCTATTGATCCCAAAGAGCGGCAGCAGGCCACAACATCCAAGAATGTACCTGGCAAATGGAAATGGGACATGGGAAATTCACAATATATATATCTATACACATATATATATATGTATACATATATATATGTATACATATTTATATATATATATATATATACAGATGTATTCATAAATTACACATTCTCGAACATAGTTGATTATTAGCATAGCATTGCATATCGGATTTAGTACAGTTCACTGCCAGTGGCATCCTGTGTGAGTCTCTCCAGGTATCCACAGTTCTCTTCAATGTGCCTCGATGTGAATGGGGGTTCAACCAGGCATAATCAGCAGAAATTGAGTTAGTTATGACGAACCAAAGTGACCAGAATGGAGGTGAAGCCTTCTAAACAAAGGGATATATTTGTACAGAAATTTGGAGATCACAACTTTTTGGGGATCAAAACTTATGAGGCCCCGGGACCTGTGATATTTTTTGGGGTATAGATCTCGTTTCGACCTGTGCTCAAGTTCAATCGAATTTACGTCTCCAAAGTGGGGAGATTGACAAACGTGCCATGAGGGTTTGCGTGCTGTGCCGGCATGCCATGAAATTGACAACACATAGAGGCTTCAGCATGTTCAACCTCCCAGAAATACTTTGGCACCTGGGTTTTCAGCCCTCCTGATTCCTGGGTCCTGAAAACGATGGATAGCTGGTGATAGTTTACCAATGCCACCATCCCCGAGGTTTATTGGGTAACATGGCCCCCATGCTTGGTTAATGGTGTGACTGTTGCATTGTTTACTGTTCTTCCACTTTCAGGCGTGGAAAGATCATCTACACATGGGTGCTTGCTGTTGGATTTATGCGACCACTCCCATCAACCACAAGAGGGGGCTATGAAAGAAATCGTCCCACAAACTGAGGGATTCACGGAATTTCCCAGACCACTACATTCACTACATACTTATACGGACTTGAAGAGGGTGTTGAACGAACTGAACGGACCAAAAAAAACCACCCAACAAAGAGGGGTGTATGCTACCAACCATGCCACTTGGTCAAAAAAAACTGGAGAATTCCCAGAGATTCCCAAGCGGAATTCCAGCACTCAGGCGCTAGTGTTGGTGGGCAACAAATGGACGGCAGATGCCCTGTCCGAGATTGGAGTCTCCACCCAAGGCGGAAACTCCATAGAGAGAGAGGCCCCCAATAGCTGGATGTTTTTTTTCATGGTAAAAGCGAAAATCACATGGATGATTTCGGGGTACACAAAAATGACTTGGGAAACCTCTGTATATATGATGATAACTATGATTTATGATGATTATAACTAGAGAAAATTTTAGTTAATGGATGTTAATGTGATAAAGCCAATGTCATAAACCATCCCTAATAAGACCGTTTTGGATGGGGGTAACAATCATCCCCAAATGGTAGTCCTTTATGGCATTGGGTTTACCACGTTAACTATCAATGTCTATGATGTTGACGAGTGGCATTTTCTTCTTCTCACCCCCCAAATGCGCAGCATGGCATTTGTTAATCGTTCAAACTCAGATTTGGCTCACTTCTTCGACTGCCCCATGTTTGTTGAGCAGAAGGTAGTCCCCAAGATCTTCCCAACCGTTCTCCCAATTACTACCGCTGATTTCCGTGCTTCTGCAATGTTCCAAATGGGCGATGTGGGATCCAGCCGGCCCTCCATGCAGTTTGGGTGGCATCAACCTTTTCACATCTGTGACGGAAAATGGAGGTTTCCTAAGTCATGGGGGTCCCCGAAATCATCCAAACATGAATATACCATTGTAGTGTTGAAACCTATGGTGACTTGGGGCCCCATTTTAAGAACCCCCCAAAATGATGGTTTCAAGATTTCAAGTGTTTTCATTATTTTGAGAGTCAATTCCGCGGCAAACTTTCATCTATGAAGAGAGTCGAGATCAAACCCCGAAACAATCTCACGAGATGCGCATGCGTAACACACCCGCACACAAACACACAAATCGATCATGCTCATGTGAATATACAATTGTATATATATATATATTTATGTATGTACATATACATACATACACACATACACGCACACACAGAGACACATACATACATATATCGTATCATAATACCATATCACCGCATATATCATGTATTTATCCCACGTCACATCTCATGTGTATATATGATATAGGTATATATATATACACATATATATATATATATGGACATACACATGTGTATATATTTCATGTATAACATCTATATCTAATATCCAATATCCGATATCTAAAGCTATATCTATATCCATACTATTTCTTAACATATTCAATCCCAGCTCGGAACGGAGGCTGGTCTCATGTGGGCACCGGGATTGCGAGTGCGCTCAAGAGCGATGCTGGGCAGCATCGTTCGTTGCTGGCTGATGGTTAGATGTGGAAAAGCCACGGGGAAAGCCATTCGGAAGATGTTCAAATGGTGGCTTTTTCCACATCGAACTGTAAACGTTGACCCTAGGGTAACCAGCAAAGACTGGGTGATTTCTCACCGACAAAGATACGGTAGACATGGTAAACCAACCAGTTGATAAGGAGATCATGGGATATTGAAGGGACAATCCACTTCAAAGGTACCCCCGCAATTCATGTTTGGGCTTATTTTTTGGACAAATCTTAACAACCAACAAGCACTAAGAAGAGCTTTAGTGACCATCTCATCCTTTTTTTTGGGGATCTGGCTTCGGGTGGATGTGTATCATCCGTATCATCCCCTCTGGTTTTCAGCCTCAAGAGTGAGGATTTACCCAGGTAGATCAAGTGTTTTCTGATGTCTTCATGTACGGGCTGCAATTTAGACTCATAGGGATTCATAGGGTATCTTACATGGGGTGGAGTATGCTGGGATGCCTTTTGTGCAACAACTGTTTTCTTAGGGAACAACCAAAGCCGTGCATCCCATCCCGAAGTCGGCGTTGAGCAGCTACATTCGACGCTTTTAGGAGGGTTCAGATTAAAGAGTCCCAGGGCAGAAAATTCAGTGGCTACTCCGAAAATCGTCAAGGTTGAGTGACTGGGGACGAAACTTTACAGTTTTAATCCCAAAGCTGCACATCCTTTCCTCTTTCCGTGGACTTTCCGGCTTTTCCGAGGAAATTGATGTTGTGATGAGCAACGTCGCATTCTCAGTTGACTCTTTAAATCGACTAATGTCGACTAGCAATGGCGCTGGTCAAGTTTCCAGGCTCGTTGGTACACATCCTCTCTTTGTTTATATCATTTATATCACAGCCCAGGTTCTGCCTATCCAAATTTCAGCTCTGTGATGCTTCAATCCACTTTTCGAATTGACACATTTTGTTTGCGATTTCCTCCTTCTCGCTGGTCGAAAATCCACTTTCCTAACTGAGACCCGCATGAATTGGTGGTTTCACGTATTTTTCAGGGGGGTTGAAACATCGAAAATCACAGAAAATCACAGAAGTGTTTCATAAGTTTTCAAGGGATTGGTCACTTCAACTTTCGCAACTTTCGCTTGACCTTTCTCAATGTCTGCCTGCTAGGTCTCCGTGACATTGTTGAACAGCTTAGATCATGTGATGGCAGCACAGGGCAACCTGGAGATGGTGCTGTCCATGGCCCGGACCTTGGAGATCAAGGAGATACGGCAGGGCCCGGTTTTTTTTAAATTCGTTTGTCATAAAAAATAGGGATTTTAAGGCATCAACATATGGGAATAGAAGTGGCTATAACTATTTTTTCTATGATCATATTTTTTATGACATATGATGGGATTTGTCATATGGGAATAGAAGTGGCTATAACTGAGAATTATGATGATTGGTTGATGACTAACATTCCATTTTCACGGGGAATCCCGATCTCAACCAACCAGTTTTTCAAGGGACGGACATAGTGAGAGAATGTTCACCTTGGAAAAACATATTTCCCCTTGGGTTGTTCCACTTTCTAATCGGGGGAGCCCTGTACATCATGAAATTATGCGACACCAACAGACCAACAGATAGGTGGGTGTTATCTCAAGCCGGGACTGGACTCAGCACGGGGGGCACCATATTTTCAAAGAAACTCATATATCTTTCTGATTCATATTGGGTTTTATTGGGATTGAAATATTATTCATAAGTTCTTTGGTCACTTCTGGACTCATATATCCAGTTGCTTGTATTGTCATATTGGTTTTATGGCTATGGAGGCTATGGATCAACTGCACATCCATGAATCCAGTGCTTAAAAATGGCGTTCACTATGGACATAGATGATATACCCTCCAGCAATTTATGGCATAGCTATGGCAAAATTGCCCGTAAAAATGGATGATTTTATAGATGATATTATACCTATGAACCGTAGTGATTTTCCAGTTCGCAAACTGTGAATTGACCAGAGGGTTAATGTAAAACCCAAAGATTTCCTGTTGCCCCGAGCTCAGGTTGGCAATGAAACCGACAAGGTCAGCAGTGGGAAACCAGGATTCAGATGTGCCATGGTCATAGGTGACGGTCATGAAACATAGGTTGTTTTCGAATAAAAGGTCACGGTCATCAATCCATTTTCATAGGGATATATATATACATATAGATATATATGTATAGATGTATAGATGTATATGTATATATATATATATGTATGTATGTATGTATGTAATGTATGTATGTATGTATGTATGTATGTAAGTATGTTATGTATGTATGTATGTAATGTATGTATGTAATGTATGTATGTAATGTATGTATGTAATGTATGTATGTAATGTATGTAATGTAATGTAATGTAATGTAATGTAATGTAATGTAATGTAATGTAATGTAATGGTATGTAATGGTATGTAATGGTATGTAATGGTATGTAATGGTATGTAATGGAATGTAATGGTATGTAATGGTATGTAATGGTATGTAATGGTATGTAATGGTATGTAATGGTATGTAATGGTATGTAATGGTATGTAATGGTATGTAATGGTATGTATGTAATGTATGTAATGTAATGTAATGTAATGTAATGTAATGTAATGTAATGTAATGTAATGTAATGTAATGTATGTATGTATGTAATGTAATGTAATGTTATGTTATGTTATGTTATGTTATGTTATGTTATGTTATGTATGTATGTATGTATGTATATATATGTATGTATTCATTTTTTCAGGATTCCCACGATGGGATGGATGACCATGAACCATACAATCTTTTGGCGATGGCACTGTATTTTCACGGGGATGAACAGGTTTTGTTTTGTGGTAGCAAAACCACAGAGAAGCGTTAGAATCTGATGATGTTTGTCATGGTCCCACGGGAGAATCACCATTTTGGCCCTTGGTCATTGGTCATTGGTTCCAAAGGTTCAGAAAAAACCCAAGGTTGAGACACAAAAACCATGCAGATCGACAGGCAGAAATACTGAGGGTTTCTTGTGAACTGACTGAGAGGCTACACAACAGGGCTCTCTGGTGGAAAACGGTCGTTTGTGGCACTGGAAAATCCGGCACTTGGAGACATCACCAAAGCAATGCTGACCAGATCTGTGTTCAGCTCTTGACAACTCTGATGGGGCGTTGTATCAATGCATATTTGGAAACAATCTTTCATGTGCATTTTTTTTCCGGGTCCGAAATCCATTGGTAACAAAATTTCCATTGACAGAAATGATTTGCACATAGCTGGTTACCTCTACCACTTACTTTGCACATCTCCCCATGGTTTTTTCGTTTGACCATGAAAATGGTTCCAGATTTTCCCGGTCAGATGCGCTCTTTCAGGCCATTGCCAAGCAACCCGAACTTCTGTTGCTACAAGAGCATGGCCCTGAAAAAGGACACCACGGAAAACAGCGACTGGATGAGTTGCCGTTACTGGCACCCCTTGCCGTTGCCTAA